AAGGTATAGGATAACGATAGGTAAGAGTGGAACCTTTTCTTACTACTTCTCAAAGCTTTATAATATGGGCTATTAAGTTAAGATAACTCCCTTTCTGTTTTGCTCATTAGAGCCTTTGCATACAACCACTGAAGCTGAAAAGAGGAGGGGAAACATCTCTAAGTTAGAAGAAGGAATGGCTATATTTCCTTGAGTTAAGTAAGTATGATTGGATGAACATATAAAAACTCTATTGGTTTTGTTAATTTGAGTATATTGTGAAGGATTAGAATAAATAGAGGTTTCTCCTTTCTGTGTAAGAATTATGTTGTTTTGTGGATAGAAGAACTACAAGAAGCCATAAGCAATTCTAGAAACTCAGGTAACGAGGAAGGCTCTGATACCACGTGAAAGTTGAAAGGCAGCATCTTGATCTTATGAAGGTGTTCAAACATAAGGGTGAAAATAAAAAAATTTCTTTGTCTTTGATGTGGAAAACATAAACCCTTTATGTTACTCATGTGTTCATGCCTAGGATCTACATGTTAAAGACATACATGAGATTAAAGCTTGTACCTTTTAACTTGAAGACCCAAAGTGTATGGCATCCTCTAATGATAGTCCACACGGTTGTCCTTTGATCACAAGTGAGAACTCCTTCTCCTTTTACCCCTCTTTTGCGTGGATACTTGCTAGTGATAGCAAAGTGGAAGCTTCAAGTGATTGAGTTTAATTTCCTCAAGACTATGATAGTGTCTTGAGGTTAAGTGGGGCAACAATGGAGGATGAGGGTGATGGTGGTAGGCGGCCAAGAACTAGGGTTCTTGGTTCTTTTTTTGAGGAAAAAAATTTCTTTATTGGAAGACTACTAGTTAGGCGCCACTTTCTTGTGATTTTAATTAGGGTTATGATCCTAATTTGAATCACACTAAATGAGGCCAAATCCATGAGATAAGTTTTCTCTTAGATCATCTGGTTGAAACACCTTGTCTTTTAGTGTCACATCATTATGTAACAACCTGACATCATTGCCCTAAATGCACAGATCTGCCTAAGCCACTAGAGTGTAGACTATATATCTAGTCTAGCACAAACCATCATTGTTAGTGTCATACACTTTGAATGACACTGTTACCTAATGAAATGATAGGTCTTAGCTGAGCTAGAGAGCACTGTCATGTAGAAGGGATTTAAGTGCCACTGATGATGGGAGGCAATCAAACGCGCTAGATAAATTTTGTAAGGGTTCCTTTTCGGTCTCATATCTTTAATTCTTTATTTTATCTTGCATGCATAATTAGAGATACACCAGCTATCACATAGTTAATTTTTAAGTGGCTTGTTTTATCATGCATACTAGTCGAATCGTGATCGCGTCTACTAACAACGTGCACACTAGTCGCAATCTATGAAGCACCGACACTTCAAAAACCTTGGCGTGTCGTATCTGACACTTCCCGACACTCTTCGACACTCTCCGACACTCCAACACGCGTTGTAGAAACTCAAAAAATGGTTCAAAGGTTGTGTTGCGTTGCGTTTTTAGTTCCAACTATTAGATTCGTTCGATTATGAATACCATTTTATTGAGTTTAATATAAATATTTGGGATATCTTGTGTTTCTTTGCAAAATTGATAGGTATTATAAGTTTAACTTCATATTTTATTAAATTATTGAATATTAAATATAATATACACTACATAAATTAAAAATATTATTTTATATCAAAACGTGTCCTAACGTGTCGAAATCTAACATTTTTTAGAATTAACGAGTCGGAGTGTCGTGTCGTGTCGTGTCACATGTCAGTATCGGTGCTACATAGGTCGCAATTTCACAATTCAAAATTTCAAATTTGAGATTCAAAAATTAAAAGCATACATATTCGAAAAACAAATTCAAAGTGGATGATCATAGTGCCTTCCGATTTTCCATCCAAAGCATCTCTTGCCTTAAATCTTGGTCATCATCAAATCTGCCTCGGTTCCATCTACATGGTTGATTGCATCTCTTGGCATGGTCTCCATAGCCAACCCATCCTCTTGAGCTCCCACGATCAAAATTTTACTTCCCAAGTTCTATTACAATCGTTGTATATAGAAAATAACGACATAAAATTTAAATCGAGACAAAACAATCTCATTTACCAAAAGAAAATCAAAATTTGAAGTTTGAAGTTTAAACATACATTCAAAGCACCATGACCATCCATGTTTCATGTACCTACAAGAAAGGTTAGAAACATATAAGCAAACAATTTGCAAATCCGAAACAACCATTGAATCACCTACAAGAAAGGCATCAACTTTTGATGATTAGACAAAATCATGAATCAAGATTGAAATTTTATCATGCATAGGGGTTGTCATGCCTCCCTTATGTCATAGCTAGGGATTGGTGGCCTTGTCCATCAAGGTTGCGACTTCCCTAGTCCCACTAGGGTTTGGCTGCCACCCTTGTCTCCACAAGGTGAAGGTTTTTCCCATGAAAGGTCAAATATTTATTAATGAAAAGAACTATACTTTCATAAAGATATTATTTTCAAGAATCATGAACTGAGTGTAGGTTTCAAAACAATTTTTGAAAATTCATTGAAAACAACCACACGACTCTTATGGTAATGAGGAAGGCTCTGGTACCACGTGAAAGTTGGAAAGGCAGCACCTTAGTCTTACCATGGTGTGCGCATGAGGGTGAAAACAAAAATATTTCTGTCTTCGATGCAGAAAACATAAACCCTTTATATTCCTCATGTGTTCATGCCTAGAATCTACATGTTAAAGACATACATGGGTTAAAGTTTGTACCTTTTCACTTGAAGAACCAAAGTCATAGGGTGTTCATCAATCAATCCAAACTGATTCAAATCGTGGTAACCAAACCGAAAAACCAATAACCGAATTAACCAAAACCAAAAATATAAAAAAAACCCGCATATTTTAATTGGATTGGATCGGTTTTTGGTTTGATTGGTGAAAATCGATCCAATGTATTATGTATTTATTATTTTTGAAAGATGGTGACTTGGAATCTTGTTATTTTGTAGACTTGAAATCTTTGATGTTATTGATATCAAACTATCTTGTTTTAGTTTTTTATTGTTTATTAATCTATTTTAACTCTTTAAGAGTTTTACAACTTGTTTTAATTTGAAGACTTGAATTTTTCAGTGGTTTGTAATTTTAAATGTCTTTATTTTGATATAGCTAGTTATTTGTATGACTGAAATTTCAGGCTTTTCGCAAAATCGAAAACTGATCCAATCCAAACCGAATAAAAATGGATTGAATTGGATCGGATTTAAAAAAAAATCCAAACTAAATGGATGATTAAATGACCAAACCGAAGAGATTGGATCGGATAATTTTTTCTTCAAAATCGATCAAATCCAGACCGCGAACACCCCACCAAAGTGTATGGTGTCTTCTAACGATAATGCACACAGTTGTCCCTTGATCACAAGTGTGAACTCCTTCCTTTTTTATCCTCCTCCTTGGATGCTTGCTAGGAGATGGCAAGGTTGAGCCTTCAAGTGTTTATATTTAATTTCCTCAAGACTATGATGGTGACTTGAGGTTAAGTGGGGAAAAATAGAGGATGAGGGTGATGTAGGTGGCCAAGAACTAGGGTTCTTGGTTTTTTTTTTTTTTTAGGCGAAAATTTCTGGATTCAAAATTATCCTTAACCTCTTGAATTCAAAATTCGAATTTAAATTTCAAACTTAAATTTAAACTCAAATCCAAATTCAATTTTATCTTAGCTCATAATTTAAATTTGAAATTCAAATTTTAAATTATGCCAAAATTCATTTTGGCCAAGTCAATTATTTGACTTACTATGACTGACCCAAAACCCTATTGGACCTTCTAACACATTTGGGTCTATTAGTGGAGAAACTAATTTTATCACCAAAAGCGTAAAAACATTGATCAAATAATTTTGCACATAAAAAACAAAAGTTGGCATGTCCTCTCACTATTTTGGGTCACAGATCAAGACACCACTGCTTCTTGTGTGCCTTAGATTCCGTTCTTATCTTCCCCTTTCTTCTTCCAACTAGTGCAGCTTTGCAACCCAATAAAATGCAGCGAAACTCATGCAAACCCCACCTTCACCTGTCCTAGAGCTATTAGGTATTAAATCCTATTTTGATGCGAAGGATGGCATTAAGAGCACGTTTGGATGAGCCGTTTTCCCCCCCTCCAAAAGCTGCTTTTTTAAGGGGGAAAAAGCACTTCTAAAAAAAAAAAATTGGATGCCACAAGTCATAAAAAAGTCAAAAACCTGCTTTTTTTTTTTTAACCTAAAAATTTTAATTTAAAAAAAATAGAAGTTAAAACTCAAAATTTAAAAAAAAAATCTAAATAGCTTTAGTTTTTATAAAAATACACTTTTAAAATAAGTAAGGCATAAAAAAGACTTTTTTGGGAAGGCAATCCAAACAGACTCAATAAAAGGTTTATTGTTTTTTTATCAAGATGACATAAAATTATTTCCAACAACTTCAAAATCACATTGTACCAGGAATTGAGGGAATGTTGTTTTGATAAAATTCATATAACAAGAAACAAATAAAATTTCTAAAATATGTTTCATTAATTCTCACAATCCCCAAATGATGTAATTTTTGGGTAAATTGTTGGAGATATTATCTCATATTCATTGAGAAACAATAAAACCCTTAATATAAGATAAAGGAGAGGGCTACAATAATGAGAAAACAAAATCATAATCAAATTGTCCTAAAATTAATGAAAGGAAAAGAGTACCATCTTACGAAAAAGGAAAATACAAATTAATTTCAAACAACCCAATCACAAACTTGAACTCCTTTTTCCTTTTTGATACACAGAGGTAGAAGGCCAAAAATATAGAAAAGATAACACATATTATAAGGCATATGGAATTGAATGCTTATAACGCCAACGCCAACGCCATATAAACACCATATCATCTAAATATGAAAGAAGTATATAGGCGAATACATACGTACATAAATATAATAGAAAAATTAGTGCCTCACCGAGGACAAGTAATATGTACTAACGATGATCTAAAATAAAAACTACAAAGATGACCATTATAATATCTCTGCCGCTACAAATCCTTGTCATCTTTAACTTGCAAGCTATGGATCATTTGTGCTGGTACTAGCTAGTATTATGCTTCTCATTTTTCCAAAAGAACAAAGTATTATGCTTCTCACTTACCGGTTTTGAATAGGGTTTGGACCACTTGGAACTTCATGAGCTTCAACTCCAAATTCTCTTTCAGCATCCTTAGATGAACTAGGCGAGTTCTGAGTTTTCTGAGGGTGCAATTTTGTGGTACACATAGTAGATTCTGATGATTTCATCATGGGTTGTGAGGAAGCCATGACAGATGGGTTTGGTATTTGGGATACATCGATGAGGAGGAGAGCAATGAAGAGAAATGTAAGGAATTGCATGAAAGAGTGTGAATTTTTTGAGAAGGCTTCTGAGATTGGTGATGATGTTTTAGCAGGTTCTGCCATGCAATTTGAGAGAAGAAACCACCCCCCAAGAGCCCACAAGAGTTCAATATCCATGAACCAACTAGCTAGCGCCAAGGCTAAGAAGGGAGAGAAAGAGTAATAGAAGTAGACGAATGGATACAGAGAAAGAGGAGAAGAAGAAGCTTCAGTTAAAATAAAGTGATTGCAAAGTTGGTTTCGAAATTCGATGCATATTTGTTTGAAAACCAAGACCAACTTAACATACAAGTTTTATATAAAAGGTACTGTTGGCCCCAGGTACTGAATTTACCATGCTGCTAGGTATAATGTAACTAAGGTTAGCCTTACCCTCATAAGTCATACCATCTCCTGACATTAGAAACGATATATTTTAGGTTTAGTATTTTTTTTAGTCATCCAATATAACTTATTTTAAATTATTCAACAACGACGTCGTTTTAGGGTTAAGAAAATAAGTTATTTTAGATGATTAAAAAAATACTAAATCTTTGATGGGGTTGAAAATAAAATATCAAAATTATGTGTTATTAAGAATAATAAGATGAACTAACCTATTATAAATATTTTTTAGGAAGGGGCTAACTATGTGCTCTAATAGATTATTATTATTAGACAAATATCATTTTATATATAACAATAAAATAAAAATTTAGGGAGGGGCGACCGCGAATTCTTGCCCCTCCCCCGATCCATTCCAGAAAAAATATATTTTTATAATTTTAATTTATTCTGAAATTATATTAATCTTTATCATTATTACCACCTACCGGTCAACTTAATATCATACAAGTCGAACACACTTTACCATGCTCAACTCTAGTTTTATGTATACTAGATATTTAACTCATTCTATAAAGAGAATTCAGCTTAATAAATCACATCAAAATTCAAATCATAAATATAACATTAGTTATATGGGCAACCAATGTGAAATTCATAATATTGCCAACCCTCTAAGGGAGCGACTTTCACTCTATTGACATTGATCCAATATTTTAAAATCATTATCCCAAAAGCTGACTCAAAGGATGAGAGTGTCTAAGATCTTATAAACTCCAAGAGACTCGTAACAGCTACCCTTGGTTTAAAAGATAATAGCATGTTCCCCTGGTTAATTACTGAACAATTTTATAAATGGGCCATCTTGTAATTGAAATATTATGTATCTAGAATCTTAAAAGGCAAAGCCATTGGCACGAGATAGAAAGAAGGCAAGGTGGTAAAAGGAGTTGTGTGACTTTTCCGTCTTTGGCCGTTTGCTCAAGAAATCTTTCTTTGACTTGGAGAGCCCTAAGGAAAGGAAGAATATCGATAATGTTCCTTGATTGCTTAACTTTTTTCCTTGCAAACACAATGTTTTAGAATCCCTCTTTTGGAGCGTGGATTTTACAGTGCCATGACAAGCCATATAATTAGATCTTTGTATTTGCGAATTCGATACCAATTCGTGAAAGAATTCAGATATACCCGAGCTTCAACTTCAATTGATCGATTTTAAAAAATGGACTTTTTGTTATATATATATTTTTTTTGATAACAACTTTTTGTTATATTTTATTTTTAAAAATTAGAAAACCAAAAGGAATCTAGGTTGTGTTTAAAGTTGACACACTACAGATGGTGTGAAAGAATTCAATGTGCTTAAAAACAAAGGATATTAATTTGCTTCATCTTTAAGAATCGAATAAAACATTTCTTCCAAACTCAAATCCAATCAAACATGTTCTTTTTGTTTCTTTCCCATTCTTTACATGGTGTTAAAGGAGTAATAATTTGTAATATTTTTTTTTTTAGATATTTAATTGGTTCATTTTTTCCCAACTAGTCCGATTCGAGGCTGGTCCCAGGATTAACACTTTAAAGTTCTCCCAAAAACGGCACTAGGGAGGATCGAATATATGCTCTCACCCCCACCTGCTTAGTTTCCTGGTGCCAACTGAGCTACCGCCTACCATCATTTGATTAATAATTTGTAATTTGAATTAGGATTAATTGTTACAATTTGTAATTTGAATGAGGATCAGCTATTACGATTTGTAATTTGAATTAGGATTAGCTAGTCGTAGATAATTGTTTCAGTTTATCATTATCTTGTATAATTGTAACAATGTCTACAAATAGAAATATTTTCTCTTCAATCAAATTATCAAATATTTGAGGAAATGAGTCCTCTCTCATGTTAAAAAAAAATATGGCATAGTCATGTGGGAAGATCACAACCATATAAAGGTAAATCAACGGTTGTGAATTTGTAACTACCTATTTCAATAATATTTTTCTCTCTCTTCCTTTATCACAATTAATCCATATTTGTATGGTTATGATTCTCAACATGATCATGTCAATTTTTTTTTAATATGAGAGGATCCAGTTCCAATATTTGATGCCATAAGTCTATAATGATATCCTATGTTGCACCAACAATGACACGCCTAAAAAATGTCATATTTCGACATGTTAGGACACGTTTTGATATTAAATAATATTTTTATTATATATAATATAATTTATATTTAATATATATAACAACCCATAATAAGTCATATAACCAATCAAATATTCAAATTTCATAACATAAATATATAGCAAAACTAATTTTTCATGTCAAATTCCATAATAGAAAAAATTGATTTATAAATTATTTTACCATCTAAAAAGTTGATCGCGTGTCAGAAACGCGTGTTGGAACGTTGATCACGTGTTCCAAAATGTTGACTGCATGTCGGACGCATGCCCGACAAGCGTCTAACAAGCATTTTTCAAAAAAAATTGCGTGTCGGTGCTTTATCACTCACTTCGTGCTTCCCGATTCGCTCCTCTATCCAGTTCATCAAGTTTATAGTGGGTGGACAAGGAAGCTTTAGGGCTTCGTTCGTCCTACGAAGATGATCCGACTTCCCTACAATCGACACTAAGTTCCTTGCGTCATTCAAATGACACAACGAGTAACTCTTTTCGGGTTGAAGCCCCCGGTGTGGATGAGAGGAAATTTTTGTCTTTTGGCACGGTGCCGATGCCTCTTTTTTTTGTATATAATTGCTTATTCTCGGAGTTGGGAGTTTGTCTCCCTTTTTTCAACTTCTAGGTAGGATGTCTTTCACTATCTTGATGTTGCATATTTTCAACTTCATCCCAACGGGTGGTGTTTTCTTCGTGTTTTTGAGATAATTTGTCGAGCTTACGGGCTGGCATATACTTACCGCTTCTTTTTCTATCTCTTTGCGATGAAAGGTAGCAGTTGCTACAGTTAGTATCTTTGAAAGCCCTCCCAGGTTTAAGGTGGTGTACTACCTTTGAGGATAATTGCAAGAACTTCAAGGATGATTATTTCAAAATTTGTCCTATTCAAGCTCTGACTTCTAGTTCTTCAGGTTCTCCTTCTTATCCCTCAAGTGTCGTAGCCTCTCCCTCTTTCTATTTGAATAAAGATAGGTCTCCTTGGTTCCCTTGTCCTGGAAGCAGTCTCATTATACTCCTTTTGTGCAAGTATATCTTCGCAGTCCAAAGAATTTGGCGCCCACTGAGCTGGATACTTATAATTGGTTTAAGGAAAAAGCCACCGAGTTGGTTGAGGGGGGGGGGGTGTAGCTATTACTTCTCGCCGGATCCTGGCATCGACCCATCACTGGAATTGGTCTGGGTTGCCTTCAGTGAGAGTTATATACTATTTCACTTATGACACCTTCGTTTGTATCTTCTAAAGGTTTTCCTTTTTTATAGAAGAGGATGGACGTAGCCTTTTTTGCTCAGAGGAAAGTTGTTGCTGAGAAGGCTTTGTCCCCCGTTGTTTCCAAAGAAATGCACTCTCCTCCCTCCGGGAAGATTTCTCCCTCCACCTTCCCGGCCACTTTAGGTACGGGTTCCGCCCACTCATAGCCTATTCATATAGATCTGGAATCGCAAGTTGATTCTGGCGATCTCTGCCAAAGAAAGCAAGTTCGGGTAACATTACCTGAGAAAGGCCCGGAACCCGTTTAGGAACGAATTCTACAATTAGCGGCGTATGGTCTTTCCCGACCTTATGCCTAAAACTCTATTGAGAAATTAAAACCATATTTCACCGCCAGCCTCTGTGAAAACTAGGATAAATTTTCTCATGAACAACTCATCAACAATTATGCGGCTTTAAAGGATTATTCCCTTAGGGAGACCTATTATTATGAGATGACGCTTTTGGCTCTCGTGGATTACAACGAGCTTTTATCAAAAATCCTGGAACTCCAGGACATCAAGGTAAAGTTTAATTCCATGCAAGAGCCTCTAGGGAAAAAGTCGAAAGATGCTGAAGGTCAGGTGAAGACCTTGAAACTTCAAGTAGTGGAAGCCCAAAATGGGAGAACTACTACCGAGGAGAAGGCTAAGTTGGCCGAGCATAATTATACCGACCTTAAGAAGGAGAGGGACCTAACAAAAAAGATCACGAGGAATCTAAACTTAGACCAATTAAACTCTTTTAATGGGCCCAACTTATCTAATGACCACGTAAGACACTAGTAATGCTCTGCGACCCCAGAACTAATTGAATTGATCAAGTGATCTACTGTAACAGCCCGTTACGTACCGGTATTGTTAAAATTGATTATGATATTAAGCGCAGTTACAATCATAGCAGTTCATTTATAAAAATACGAGTAAATTTTTTCCTTTTCGTTACGTAAGCATTTAAAAACAATAATAAGACGTAATGAGTAAAATTTATGATCATAATTGAAAACTAAAGGCGGAATAATTAAAATAATTTCCTCACTATCATATAATGTTTCTCTCAAGTCACTAAGGGGTTCCCATAAACCCACTTAGCATAATTCTCAATTTTATGGTTTTTACATAACTGAACATGGTTCAGTAATCTGGATATTGCGAGAGATTTAGTTGTTACGAGTCTCTCATATTTTAGTATATTATTTTAGGCTTAACTATATTTCCAACAAGCTATCATACACTCCATAAAGTTCTCGTTTGCTCCGATTATCACCGTTTGAAATTGGACAAGCAAAGCTGCCAGCCAACCTCAAATAGGATACCAAACAACCTATACTATTTCAGAGATTCTGGACAAAATACTCCACCAATTGCTCTCACATTTTTATACAGTAAACTAGAAATCTTAAGCTTCAATTTGACATATCATGAGCCTAATTTGACTAAGAAT